AACTAGACCTGTACAAAGTCTACAAGTAAGAAGCATCCGAGTCTATCAAACACATGCAAGAAAGCACATAGAAAAAGAAGCCCCATTGTGACCAGATGTTGGGATAGCTACAACCAATGTAAGTATAAAAATGGGGGAAGCAACATTCTAAAAGCAATACAAGGTCTCACTCAGAGACCACCTGCAGTGGAACCAAGGAACCTGAGAGGCCACCTATCCTGGGAGATTTCTCCCCTGTGTTTCAGAGAGGGACACGCGCAGTAAAAGACCATAGCGATACCCATTTAAATTGGTCTTAAAAAGGGATACACGAAAGGGGAAAGGGTAGGTAAGGAATGGAGGACAGGAGGGAATGGCAAAAAGGAGAAACTCACCATGATCTCAGGTTGTTTATTTTATACCTCTCCGTACGAAGACCGAGATGCCCGTTTTTCAGCGAGGGGAGCGTGTCTCGGGCTCTCCAAGCACCGGGAGGGACACGTGGCGGGTTCTGCGAGAGGACTGCGGAGCTCCACAGCCAGCTGCGGCCAGGGAAACCTTCCTGCCCTGGCTCCGGTTAGAGCCCGTCTCGTTACCCGCCACTTCTCTTGCACCTTATACCTCCCCGCACCTCTCTCTCGCTGGCCTGTATTCGAGGGGCCCCTCTTGTATCAGGCCAGCTTACGATGATTGGGCATTTCTGCCCCCCTTTGATTTCTCATAGTTACGACTTTAGGGAGAGGTGTTTTGTGAGCTATTTTCTGAGCTATTCCTGTTCCTATGGCCCCGTTTCCCGGAAGGCCCCGCCTCCCTGCTCCACGCCGGAGTCCATGCGCGCCCTCCGCGGCCACCTTTTGCTGGGGGTTCAGTCCTCCCTGGGACCATCCCGTCCTGTGTCTGCTCTGCTTAGTGCCCCTGTGTCCTGGGTCGAACCCACTTTGCCGTGCGCTGGCTCTGGAGAGGCAAGAGCACAGTTGGCTTGGATAAGGCCACAGGCCAGTCACAGCGTTTTACGCAGCGAAGGGGTCTTGGTCTCGCTCAAGAGCTGTCCAAGGACAACGAGGATACCCAGCATCGAGACTCTTTCCACCCTTGTACTCCACGACCCTTAGCGTGCTGGCCTTCGTCTTCACCCCTGTCACCTCGCGGTGAAAAGGCGGCTTGCGCGCCTCCAGGCTATTACCCTCACATGCATTTTAAATGTAGGCTGGAAGAAAGAGGAAGCGGAGGCGCTGGTGCTTTCATCTTATTGGCTAGCACTCTCACATGGTAACTCGGGGGGCCGGGCGTTGGAGAGTTTAGCTTTGGCTTCCTCTGTTGGAGACAAGGATATGGACGAAGTGGGCTGGGAGAGAACATTGCATCAGCCAAAATCAGAGTGTTTGCCACAAATATGAACCAAAGACGTCCCTTTCTAAACTCTCTCCAATAGTCAAAAATGACTGATTCCATGGCTTATTCATATACTCCACTATCATACTCCTTCTCCAAATTCATATAGTATACCCTATTTTTTAAAAAGTGTTAAATATACACTGTATAGGCTGCAGTAGAACAAGGTTAATAATCACAATGATAATAATCTGCTCAGTAATCACCTCAGCTAGTGCTGAATTACTAAGTATCTACCTTTTATTGACAAGCATTGGGATACAATGTTAATTAATGTGTATTTTCATGTCATTGAGCATATATCCTATCTGCACAGTGCTTCGTCAATTAGGGATGATTTCAGCTATTAAAAGCAGAAAATGCAAATACCAGTGACTTAAACCATATTATCACTCCATAATTTTCTTTTAAAAAATGCAAAAAGAGGTATGTAGCTCCACAACTTAGGGAGCTGAGGTTATGTCTCTGTGATTCTGCCCTCATGGTTACAAGAAGGCTGCCACAGCTCCAAACATCTCATCCTTCAAGAAGGTGTCCAAAGGCAGCCAAGATGGTGAGAGAACTGCTCTCTCAGGCCTCCTCCTTTTGTCAGGGAAGGCAATCTTCCCCAGAGGCTGCCTGGGCAGACTCGTTGGCTAGAACAAGGTTATGTAGCACCACTAACTTGAAGAGGGTTTACAAAAGCATCCAGCGAACAAGGGAGAGGAGGTTGAGAATCAATACCGGGTAGATGACTAAAAGTGTTGTTATAGATGCTTTGCAGCTTTCCACGGACGTTTACACTCATGACTGCATCTCCTGACTCAGTGAAATGACTTTCCATACATTGGGAAGCTCCAACCGAGAATAGGAGGTATCAATCGATGGCATCTGTGATGTGGTAACTTCTGGCTGGAAACTAATTCAAAGATCCTTTGAAGGTGCAAATTTAATGAAAGGGTTTTAAAGATATTATAATGCATTTAGCCTTTAAAGTATGCATAGAACAGCCCCAAGAGTAATTCAGAAGATTTTATAGTTTGGGAAGATAATTACAAGGCAGAATGAAAAGAGAAATCAGGGTACACGGAGTCTAGGCCCAGCTTTGGGCGGGACACTGGGAGGAATCTGGATCTCCCTTTCACCATCGGTAACACTGCGTCCTTGAACAAAGCTGGATGACCCCTGAACTCCTTCTCAAATATGAGTACTTACCCAATCATGACCTCAGAAGTCCTGAGGGAGAAGAATATCAAAAATCATCTAGTCTAGCCTCTTTTTATAAATGAGATAATTTAGGCTCAGAAGATCACCATTTGTCCAAATTCACTTGTCTAAGTTAGAATTTGAGTTCCGGAATATAACACACAGTGATTTCACAAAGAACTGATGCTCCATCCTAATAGATTTTTGTAAAACCTTTTCCTCTACCTTCTTTTTCATCTTAGGCAAAATCCCTCCAATAGCATTTACTGTTTCATAGAATGCAGATCATAAGATAGCCTCTCTGTAAAATAATAATTGTGCCTTTCTCATAGTTTTTTTCTTCTTCTTTTCTGAGGACTAGATGAAGAAGTCACGCATTAAGAAAAGGTAGTGTCGCGACTGACAGAGCAGGGACTCAATCCCCGCCACCATGTCGGTGCTGAAACTCGTCTGAGTGTGGGGAAGGTCCTAGGCCCGTTTCCCCTGCAGGTCGTGTGAAGGGCGGGTCCGAACCTCGCGATCACTGTTTCGCTTGCCCGGTCCTATCTTTTACCTTCACTTACGGAGATCTGAAGGTTCTGTGGCACAGCCTAGGGCGCGGTCCATAACTGGAAGCCAGTGACTATGCTGTCACTGAGCTCAGTACCTCGTGTCTTGTACCAGATGACGTGAGTCACTTCAGTCAGGGAGTCTGAGTCCAGGATGCACGGACGGGTGGCAGGGGATCAGGGGCCCACCTGACATTTCACTGAGGCAGGTTTTCTCGGCCTTGGCACTATTGACATTTCGGCTGGATAATTCCGAGGCGCTGTCCTTTACATGCCAGGATGGTTAGAAGCATCCCTGGCCTCTACCCACTGGATACGGAGGTAATATCACCTCCCTGGTCATGACCATCAAAAACATGTCCGCAACGCGCCAGCTGTCCTTGGGGAGATCACCTCTCTTCTCTCCCTTGAGAACCACAGGGATAAAGCCTAATATGTATGTGCATTTTTTTTTCCTGGGAGGCTTATCAGTTGCATCGTATTCTTAAAAGGGTCTATGACCTCAAAAGGACCAATGGCTCAAAGCGTTTCAAAATAATAATGAAAGAACGCACATCTCTTGCTGCAGTTGTGGGGTAAAGTACACCCTCTTGGCTAAATACAACAGTGCAACTTGAAAATTTACTGCTAGAAATAGATACCGACCCATTTATTACTTTCAGTGACTCTGATGAAGCACTTCACTAACAATATCTGGGCAAGTATCTGCCTCACAAACTACTATTCCCTCCCCCACCCCTGGCTGCGTGATTTTTAAAGCACTGTCTCCAGCAGAGACTTCTCCAGTTTTCTACTGAGCATAGCTCTGAACTTCCAAAGGGGGGTGCGCTAATGACAACGACGACGACAAAAAAAAAAAAAAAAAAAAAACAACAACCCTCAAGACTGGAAGGGAAGTAAAAAATCAGTTTGGTGGAAAGAAGGAGGAGAAGGGACTAAACAAAGAACATGCGTGAAGGACCCATGGACACGGACAGCGGAGTGGGAACTGACTGTGGGAGAGGGGGGCGGGGTGGGATGGGTGGAGGAGGGCAAAGGGGGAAAACCTGAGACAACTGTAAGAGAATAAACATGATTTAAAAATTAAAAAATTTAAAAAATGAAATCCAATTGTAATATTGATTGCAAGATTGATTAGAGGGATGGAAGGGACGGGAAGGAGGGGCAGGTGGAAAAATGGGGAGGAAAAGGGGGGGAGAGAAAGAGAGAGAATGAGAGAGAGAGAGAGAGAGAGAGAGAGAATGCATTGTCTTGAAAGAAGTTCCCAAAGAGGGGGTGAGGCTTGGGCGCGGCTCTGGCTGGAAGCCTCCCCCAGCCTCCTCCCCGGCTTGCCTAGAAAGACGGCCGCCGGCCCGAACCCCTGCGCCTTGGGCTGTCCTGTTTCTCTCTCGTTCCCACGTCCACATGGTGCACCCCTTCCCAAGTGACCATCTCCCAAGAACCTCCTCAAAGCTCCAAAGGGTCGCTTGGCCCAGTGCCTAAGGCCCTGGTTCTCACCTACCCGTCCCCGCGGCGGCAGGCCACGGGGGCTGTAACCCCAACTACCAGACCCGCAAAACGCAAACAGGAAACGTGCGCCCCTCGAGAGCACCCCACAAGGCAAGCAACTTTCTCCCCTACTCTTCGGTCTGGCTGCCTCCCCCGCTCGCCCCTTTGAAAGTGTCGCGATGAGAGGAGGGCAGGAGGGGGGCTCGGGGGTGGGGGAGCCCCGCGGGGACGGGCTTGAATCCCACCGGACAGAAGGGCGCGCCCCTCCCCGTGCGCCGGAAAAGTCCCCGCCGGCCGCGCTTCGTCCCGGGTCCGTCTGCTCCGGGTCCGCGGGGCGCGAGGGGAGGGGACAGGAGAAAGAGGGCCGGGCAGCCGTGGGAGGAGGCGGTGCGTGCCGCGCCTGCCAAAGCGAGGTCCGTGCCTCTGCGTGCGAGCCCCCGCGCCCCGCGCTCCGCCCGAGCCGCCGCCGGAGACCCGCGGGGGGCGCGGGCTGCACTGGGGGCGGCGGCGCCGCGCGTCCTCCTGGGGAGCCTCGGCCTCCGGCCGCTGCCCTCTCCCCTGAGTCGGGCCCCGAGTCCCTGTGGCCGTTAGGGACCGCGGCGAGGAAGGAAGGACGGTCTCCTCGGCGGTGGACGTTCCGCCCGGAAAAGACAGCAAGTTGTGTGCGCGCCCCGGCCCGGGGACAGAGGGCGGCCGCCGCCCGCCAGCCATGTGAGTAGAGCGCCCGGCCGGCCCCGGGGCGTTGGCCCCGCTCCCTGCTGCCCAGGGCCCCCTCGTCCCCGCGCGCCGGAGTTGTGCCGCCCCCGGGCTCCGGACTTCCTGCCCGGGCGGCTGGCCCGGCTCCCCCGGCCCGCCGCGTCCGCCGTGGGCGTCTGCCTCCCGGGTGGCCGCCTTCCCATCTTTGTCCCCTCCCTTCGCAGCCCGCTGGAAATGCCTCGCTCGCTCATTTTGGGTTGGGGATCCTGTGTGTCTTCGGGGTGGGCGAGGCCAGTGCACGGGACCGAGAAGGAGCTTGCCTCGGTGCACCCCCGGGCTCCTGACCCCGCTCCAGCGGATGGCCCTTATCACCCCCGCGCATTTTCCCCATCCTCACGGCCCAGACAGAGAACTTTAGTCGCTAGCGCAGACGCTGACCACAGTTGACAAGATGTTGTTTAAAAAACGCACAGTAGCCAGAGCTCCCCGGGAGCGATGCCCCGGAGTGTGCGCGGGCGGTGGGAGGAGAGGGCACCGCAGAGGCTCGGCTCGGACCGGGGCGAAGTGCGGGAGGGGACATCTGCTGTGGACTCGGCTCGCCGGAGTTGAGAGTCCTGGGACTGGAACTCGCGGACGCGTGGCCTTTGTGCTTCTGGATCTATCTCTTTATGGAAAGTGTGGGAAAAGGTTCAGGGCTCCTTTTTGGAAGGGAGGGAGGTGGTGGTCGTGAAAGATTTTATTTATTTCTAGAGAGAGGGGAAGGGAGGGAGACAGAAAAGGAGGCACGCGTGGATGAGAGAGAGAGACATCTATCCGCTGCCTGTCCGATGCGCTGGGTCTGGGGACCAAACCTCAACCCAGGCCTGTGCCTGGACCCGGACTCCAACCCGTGATTTTTGGCTTTGGCGGAAGGACGCCCAACCACCTGAGCCTCACAGGCCAGGGCGCAGGGGGAACTATTTGAATGATGGGGGTTGGGTGTAGGGCCCTGGAAAGTATGTACTACTTTTTAAATTAGACACTGACGATTATTGAACTGGAGAGATAGTTCCAATAACTTTATCACAACCAATGAATCGAAATTGCGGATAGGTGAATAAGCCTTGCACTGCTTCCCTTCATTTGTCCTGGGGGAGGTACTGAAGAAAGAAGGGGTTCCCAAAAGCCACCCGGTGAGCGCTCGGGAGGCCTAATAACTCCATCCGGTCCGCGGGTCTGTGTGGTCTGTAAAGTTTGTTCAATTTGTCGTGCTTTGCAGATGTGAAAATTATCCTAATGATTTTGTTTAGGCTCATGCTGAGACTTAATGCACCCAAAGGGACATAGAAAAGTTACTGCAAATTATGAGCATGAACTTGCAAACCAAGTAGACAAACCATGGTTTGATTCAGTTTATTATAATATTTGGAACTGTGTTTACTGCCAATAAAAAGGCTACATAGCTTTTAATGTGAATATAGGAAATGAATTCACTTGCAAATAGAAGTCATGCATTTTTTTTAAAAAAAAGAGTAAATAGCTGTCAGAGTTAACTTGGGAGCGTTTAGAGGAGATCAAGACATGAAAACGTTTTAAGCTAGTTTGACGAAACTTGAATGAAAGAGACGTTTATGGAGGACATTAAGTTCTTCCCACTTTTGAAGTCTTGAGGCAAGTTTGAATGTGCATTAATTAAAAGTTGTAGAGCAACTGAATTGGTGTGAACCCTTCACCGAAAGCCTTGGACTCCTAGACTGTCTTCTTCCTTTCCCAGGGATCAGCACCCTTACTACAGAGGAAAGGAAGTTGAGGCCCGGGAAGTCTGAAGCGCTGTCCTGTTCGCAGACGCTGCCCATTACAGGACCACGCACGGATCACCTGCGGTCCCGGTCCCCGGGGGCTTCGCACCTTCACCTGCTCCCGCAGCCCCAGCGCAGTCCCGTTGGGTCCCCACTGCCCTGCCTGGAGAAAGATGGCGTCCAGCCTGACGTGTACTGGGGTGATCTGGGCTTTGCTCTCGTTTCTTTGTGCTGCTACCTCCTGCGTGGGGTTCTTCATGCCCTACTGGCTCTGGGGATCCCAGCTGGGCAAGCCGGTGTCCTTCGGCACTTTCCGGAGGTGCTCCTACCCTGTGCATGACGAGAGCCGGCAGATGATGGTGATGGTGGAGGAGTGTGGGCGCTATGCCTCCTTCCAGGGCATCCCCAGTGCTGAGTGGAGGATCTGCACCATCGTGACCGGCCTGGGCTGCGGCCTCCTCCTCCTGGTGGCGCTCACGGCCCTCATGGGCTGCTGCGTGTCGGAGCTCATCTCCAGGACAGTGGGCAGAGTGGCTGGAGGAATCCAGTTTCTGGGGGGTAAGTGACTGGCTGCACTTGAGTTGTTTTCCAGAATCCCAAAGCAATATTGAAAATGATGTTCCAGTTGTCTGCTGAGATTGTTGTGATTGACGCTTGGAATGCTCGGGAGAAACAGACCTAATGGCTTTGGTGATAGATGACCAAAGCCAAAGGTTTTTACTAGAACTGCGTTACAACTTGGAGAGTTCTTAATTTCTCTGCACAGCCTTAGACAAATACGCGTCCTTTGCCTGCTAAGTGCCACCTACGTGCGGCTGTAGCGCTTAGGTTCTTTATGACGTAGCAGGGGAGACAGTTTGCATTCCATCACTTCTTACTCTTTGTGCTCAACAGTAAGCAAGCAGATTTTCTTTATCTTACTGGAATCCTCAGGTCTTGAATGACGAAAACATCATAGAAAAAGCTTTTGATTCCACATAGCCACCGTAAGTCTTTACTATTCCGGTAAAATCGACCCTTACCCACTCTTAAACTCTATTTCTAACTAAGTGATTACTGCTTTAAATAAGAGATCGGTTTTACATTAAGAACTGTGAATTTCACTACAAAGATAGCTCTAGCCTTAACCACCTTGTTAGCATTTCATTTCCCCGGGTATTCTTGCTGTTAAGGAAAGAAAAAAAAAAAGAATATTTAGCAAATGATGTGTGCTTGTCCCGAATGGACTGGATAGTCTCACTCACACCAGAAAAGGTTTGATTTTTACTTGGGCTTTCTCCAACAAGCACTGCTTCAATATCTCTGCTCATATGGCTTTAATTATACTTTATATATTTTCCGCTGTGCCTTTCACCTCCATTTTTCAACGTGAAAGGCTGAACTTGTCTGATTTACAGTCCGCCCTGGTGAAATACGACAACCTTCGTAGATGACGCAGACTGAAGGGGAAACGGCAGGAAAATGTGTACAATATATTTGTGACTTCATTACAAAGGGAAAGTCTGTTCTTATTCCATTTGGTGCTTTCTTCCCGTCTTTCGTGAAAAATCCAGAAGAAAACAATTGCAAATGGATAGTTCTGGGATAGAGTCTACATATTGGAGAAGCCCCAGCAGATGATTTCAGATTATTTAATATAAAACTTACAATAGTGTTTAAAGTAAGAAAATTCTTGTGATAAAAATGCAAGTGGCAAAAAGTTTTGCGTTTTGAAAGAAGCGATAGACTTGTTTGGAGTTCTTTATTTCCTTACTGGATATAACTTTGTTTTCATCTGGGGTTTTTTTTTTCCTGTAGTTTTACTTCTGATGCTGCTCCAGAAGGCAATTTGGGGAATTTCACTCTCCTTTCTTTATTGCCTTAGTGTTCGACATTGACCAAAAGCATGGTGTGTGATATGTATATTCATACAGAAATACAGTAAAACTATTATGAAACCAAAAAGGTCTGTTGGAAGTTGCAGTATAAATCCACAATTTGAAAACTTCTTGATACCATGGATGCTAAGAATACAAGGAAAGCCAGGAGTATTTAAATATTTTTCATCAAGAATAAACGCAATTGGCTGGTTTTTGTTTCACTTGGCTCTGGAAAAATGCTTAGGCAGTTTCTTTTTCTCCTCTTATGGTAAATATTACTTTCCTTTCTTCCCCTTCATTTTAGGGCAGGGACCGCTATTATTTCTGGCAGAACAGGAAAATGCTTACAAAGAGAAATCATTTTTTATTGATTATCTTTAAACATATGATGAAGGAAGGCAATAGAAAGTGAATCCGAGACCCATGAGATTTACGCTTCCTTCTCTAAACTATGTATAGATTTTTTGGGTTGTATATAGCTAAATGCTATACTTTACAGAAAAGCTCGAGCAGAAAGACCATTGAGGGAAGTTATATATATATATATATTATAAAGGGACTGGTTTTTCCTTTGTACATGCTTTTCATGAACCCTGGCTTGATGTTACTTTAAGCTAAGGATATAGTTTGTTACTAGCAGTTGGTATTCTCTCATTTCTCATATGTATTTTCCATGGCAAAAAAAAAAACCCCAAAAACAAAAAAACCAACAACTCAAATGTAAAACCTAAGAAGTTTTTTTCTGAATTGAACCTCTTGAGGGCTCAAGTAGATAAATACATCCTATTACCCAAAATAACGGTAAATTTAGAATTATAAAATAACTTGAATTACGGAAAAGGTTTGGGAAACTCTGCCATTCATTGCTGTCACGTAACGAATGGTAAGCCAGTGGGCAGAAGCAAAAACGCATCAAGAGCAGTTCCTCCTGTTGTTCATTTCATAATGGTCTGGGTTTTTATTCATACACACTCAACTGGCAAATCACCTTATTTGACAATCTGCCTCATAAAATGGGTCGATGTCGTAAAGATTGCAGAAGCCCAAAGCAGAGAGCTCTGTGAGTCCCACAGGGCAGATGGCAGCGCTTCCGAGACAGAGTCAGCGTGGAGGGCACTCGGCTCCAAGGCGGGTTCTCTTGCTAAAAATGATTCACCCGGAGGGTTATGTTTAGCTAAATTAGGGTTGTTCCAGCAACAACAGGAAGCGGCCGAATGGCAGAGTGCAGAAGCACCCCGCCTGATCCCCGCTCCCTGCTGGGGCCTGAGTGTGCACATATGGCGTGACATCAGGCAGCAAACCCCTGCAGGACTCGGGAACTAGTGAAAAGACAAAACGTCAACCTTAATTTTGAATAGTCTTGCCATGGTTGGATAGAGGTGAAAATGTCACCTGTCAGCTGATAGAACAACACAGTAACTGCCTCTCGTACCTGGACCTTTGCTACCTAGCGGAGGAGCCCCCCACGACTCCTGAAGTCCCCGAAGTAACTTGAACATAAGCTTTCTGTCCCGCCGTCTCCCTCTTGTGTTGTAAGTCTTGTTTTTGTCATAATTTGTAAAAACAAGTCTGGGTTGAGTTTTTTACCCTTAGCTGGGTTTTTAAAAGGTGTGTTGGAAGCCTGTGAGAAATACAAGGTATAACAAAAATGTTAACATTCACGCAGTGTGGTTCCATTGGCTGGTGCTTGCAAACATCAGGATTTGAATTTATAGATTTCAGCTTCGGAAACTGTCATGAGAGGGTACTGAAGAGGGTCCCAAATTTGGAGTAATCTACCTTTAATTTGAACGGGAGTCACGTGTATGCCTAAAATAGGTGTAGAATGCTAATCCGTAGCAAAGGACTATTTTCCCCATTGAGACGCTCTTGTGTTCGAAGCAGCCGCGGGAGACCAGCTCCGCGGTTTATCCAGAGTGGAGGGCTGCTCAAGACAGTGACGATGGCAAGGCGTTTCTGGGAGCGTCGCGTTCTCTGTCGGCTGGAAGCATTCTTGCCTTCCCAGAACCGCTCACTGCATGGTCCCACCTGGGCCTCTCGTCTCCCCCTTTGGGATGAGGGCTTAGGACCCTTCTCCCCGCCGCCCCCCAATTTAGACCTGACCTGTTGCATGATGTGCCACGCTTTGCTTTTCTTCATAGCCACCGTCTCTGTCAAGTGGCAGCAGAGGAATAAGATACATGATGGGTTTGCATATTAATGAGCATAGTGGCTTTATTGGGACAGTGTCTAAACTGGAGTCACTCTAATTTTCAGAAATTCAAGCATTTCTGGGGCCAGGGGGAAGAACAGGCAGGTCTCTCTTGGTCCACTGCCAGTGACATCTTCCAGATGCTTCATTCAGCTCCCTCTAACCTACAACTCGAGGTCCTGGGGACTTGTCTTGAGTTCTAAGCCAGTGGTTCTGAAACTTGAGCAAACATCAGAATCACACCTGTGGGACTTTGCAGAACACAGGTTGAGGGGCTCACCTGGGAATTTCTGATCCAGTAGGTTTGATGGGATGGGGGGACTGAATATTTGTATTTCTAACAAGTTCCCAGATATTGCTCTGGGTTCTGAGACCACATCTTGCTCTCGGTTAACTATTTTGTGTTTTTAACAATGTGACTTCTCATAGAGTTACTTCCAGAACTTAGTTGTCTCTTTTGATACCTATCATACACGTATTAGAATTATAATATTATGTATTATGTAATATACATTATATATATTCTTCCATTTCTCATTATCCTTTACCAGAAATAAGATTTTATAGATGGAAAACCAAAAACAAAACCTTAGTACATCCTTTGTAGTTTTCACACAGTGGACTTTCAGCGAGGACTTACAAACTTGGACGCTTCATAGGAATGAAGGCCATTCTGCAGACCACAGAGAGCGGCCCAGGCAGCCCTCGGCCAATTCCGTGAAGCCAGGGACATTTTGAAAAAGGAGGATGATGAAAGCCCTTACTTTGACTAAGAACAGAATCACCTGGTCTGAAACATCTCTAGGGAAGATGTTGCGCTCTTGCTGAATAACGGTACTTCCTGGGGCCACAGGTCATACCTTCCATCACAACCGCGTGTCCCATGCACACTGACAATAAAGAGGAACCGGCTTGAGACCGAGGGGGCAACAAGGTGAGCAGGGTCTTGCCAACCAGGACGGAGTGGGAGGCCAACAGCCAGCGCCTCCTGCCGCATGTGCCCGGCTCTGCATTTGTTAAAGGCAGGGATGCCAATGAATGCACTGATCTTTAATAGAATCTAAGACATCAAATTTTACATGGTTGTGCTTAATGATGTTTTAAAATTACATTTCCAAAAAAAGTCATTGTCACCAGTTTTGTTTTGGTGTTTTTGCATAATTTCTTCCCCTAGAACTTGGGCTTCAAGCCTTAATTTGGAAAGTTTTTCATGGTTTTCAGACTTTCCTATGAAGCGTCCAAGTTCTGCATATGAATAATTGATGTCAGAATGCAGTACAATATTCCTTTAACTCTCGAGTGGCCCACGTGTGCCCTGCGCGGGGAGTCCAAGGCCCTGCCCCAGGGAGTTGGGTTCAGTAGGCCTGGGCAGGGGCACGGGAGAAGCACTTTTAACAACCCCCTCCCAGGTTCTGGACACGTTTTGAGAAACATGAGCCAGTTGTGTTTACTTAAAACCTTCCATGTTCCTGTGTGAGGGCATAGACTTCTATCAACCGTTGCGCTAA